AAAAATTAAAAAAAAAAAAAAAAAAAAAAAAAAAAAGTAGATAAAAAGCTAAATAATTCCCGAATAAGGATACACCGTATGTAAAGGCTGGAAAAGTACAGGAATGAAGGAAGACGACATTTATGTTATGTAAAGACGACGGTAATCATTTGCTCCAAAAGCTGCGTTGCACTTCGGGCACTTCCTCCGGCGTGTCTCGTAACGAGTTTTCATGCACTCCATACAAAAAACGTGGAAACATTTCGTTAGCACAGCATCCTTCCTCCTAATTTTACAAGATGGACAAGTAAGAAGGTCCTGAAAAAAAAAGTAATAACAACGCGAGCCGACGCTAGTAAACCCTAAAGAACATCTTTTAACTGCGGGCATAAAAATAATCAGCCCAGCAGCTTCGTGCTCGCAATATAATTGAATACAAACTTACCACCTGTCAAAAGTTTGCTTATAAATCACTCAACCTATGCAGTAATTATTAAAGCATCACCTTGAGTTCACGAATCTCTTCATTAAGAACTTGCTCAAGCTCCAAATTATCAACCTTTTCTAGCTTCTTTGAACGCTCATACTTCTTTTTATAAATATTTCGGTCCTCCTCAAGGCGCCTCAAATTGAAGCGAATGTCAGCTTCCTGTGATTTCTTGGAAGTAAGTGCCTAAAAAAAGCAAAAAGCGAAAATTAATGAGCAGTTGCGCTAGTCCTTATATCTCAAATCGGTAGAAATCTCTTCTCAGTGTCGCCTAACTGTCTAACGCTTTTAAAGTGAAAAAGGAGAAGAATTGTAACTTATAAATGTCGAAGATGAAAGTAAAAAGTAAAATGCTTCCAACCGATTGAGCATCAGCTAATTGGCCTGAACACTTCTCCAACTGAGCTTTATAATCAGAAGCAAGTCTTTCAGAATCTAGGGCTTTCTTTTTCTGCTCTTCCAAACCTTGCTCTGCGATTCTGAAAGAAAATCAAAATTCAAAAGTTTTCATAATCAGAAAAAGAATTAAAAAATAAACGATGATGAAAAAAACCAAAAGATAGAAAACGAGCCGAAATTAAAACCTGAGTTGCTGCTCCATTGTCGAATTTTTCTGCAGCTGCAATTTCTCGCGCTCTTCAATTCTTTTTAACATCAGCATCTGGGCATCAAGCTGATTTTGTAAACTTATCACCCGTTCTTCAATGCGCTCTTTCTCTTCATTCATCTTCTTTTGGAACTGATTGGCACGAATACGCTCTGTCATAAGTTTTAAATTGGCTTCATCCTAAATTTCTCGTTCTAAACTTACATCAAAGACTCTACATCTTTGAAAACAAGAATTACACGTCCAGTTACCTTCTCTTTCAGTTGCTGAATTAATAAAGCATTCTTCTCCTGCATTTCTTCAAATGCTTGGCCTGTAGTTTCAACTTCGTTAGTCAAACCCTCTTCTTCTTGGCGTGCAGAATGAGCTTCCTTACGTAAACGTTCATTAAGTTCTTCCAAACTTCTGAAAACAATAAAAACTAACAAAACTACTAAAAAAACAAAGCAAATTTATTGGCGAGAGCCAAACCTGATTTTCCTCTGTGCCTCTTCCGAATAATAACGTATTTTTTCCTTCCTATCAGCACCCACAAGTTTCTTCAAGTGAACTTGCAACTGTTCATTTTCTAACCTCAATCGTTTTTCCTTCGCCAGTAACTTCAAAGTAACATTTTACCAACTGTCAGAAATTAAAATAAAAAAATGAAGTTTCAGACAAACAAAGTGGCTAACCTCTACTCTGCTCCTCTGGTCAGCAGGAAGAGAATTGAGAGCATCGACCTTCGACTGTAATTCTACCACTTTCCGTCTTAGTTTCCTAATTACATTGACAGTGAAGTACTATAAACCAACTAAAATGAAAATTTACGCTCGAAGAAAAAACCTTACTGGACTGTTTTTTGGAGAAGCCCAGTATCGCTTTCACCATCCAGTGATTCACCCAACTCTGCGTTCGACCCATCCGAAGTAAAGGGATCGACAGGAGCAACAGAATTTTTTTCTTGATCTGGAGAGGCTAACGAATCACCATCTTCTTCAATCTCAATTAAAAGACAACGCTCTCTATATCGTTTTTCTCCTTCCAGCTCCTTGTTAGCCTAAAATGTTTCATCTCACATGTAAAAAGTCAGATCAAGCGTCTATTCCTACCTTGGCCAAGGACGCAACAGCTTCTTTCCACTTCCTTTTAAAACGATTAGATTCTTGCTTCAGTTGTTGGTTCTGAGTTTTGTATGTTGACAGCATGATACGCGTTTCCTTATTGGCAGGATTTGATTGCTCGTTCGCTGCTAAATTCTGCTCAAATTCTAAACGCAACATTTCGTATTCGCGTCTAACTTGACTTAACTGTTCATCGAGTTCCCCAACAGTGTCTTTCATACGTTGCTGAGCAAGATAAGCCTCATTCTGTAACAGCAAAATCAAGTAGATTTTACAAGTAACTCTTCTTAGGCAAAATCAGTAGAAATTTTCATCAGCCACAATATGTAAAAGTAATTTTGAAAACAAGTTAATTTACTTCAATGTGCTCGATCTGTTTTGCGTGTGCAGCCCTCAAAGCGGCCATCTGAGACCTTGCAGTTTCCAACTGCTTTCTAAATAACGAGATCAATTACACAACAAAAAAACCACAGAGTAACAAGTAAAAACGATAAACCAACTACTAAACTGACAAAATAACTCAGTAGCAAAAAATATATAAAAGACCGCGGTAGACCTCATTTGAGTAGCTTCAACAAAAAGATTGGTGAACTGAGTCTGCAGCGCATTATATTCCACTGAAGATTTAATTACTTCTGTAGGGATGTGCTTCAGCTGAAAAATTTACGATATACGAAGAATTACATTAGGCAAAAATGAGAAGTACTTACAACTTTAAAGATTGGTAAACCGACCTTAGCACTAAAAGTATCGACTTCCCGTGTCAGTTTTTTATTTTCTTCATGCAATTCCTGCATTTCTTGCAGTCTATTTGCGGCCAATTCTCTCTCCATTTCCAGAGACTGTTCTAGGTCTTCTAACTGTAACGAGAAACAATTAACTCCAAATTATGAAATGCTATAGCCACAGCTGATATGACAAGCTTAGAATGCCTTATTTCACTGTAATTTAGAACTGATATATCTTACACAAAAAAGAAAAGTATAAATCTGTAGCTATGACAGAAATAATTGAAAAACAAAACAATATAATAGCTAACAGACCTTTGACTTGTTAATACTCGTCGTGTTTGAGCTACCATGAGGACCTACTCCATTCTCGCTAGCATTTTTCGCATCATTCAGCTCATACTTTTGAACCTTCCGAGCATACTAAATAAAATTTAAAACCATTCTCATTATAGAAAATAATTATTACAAGTTTAAAAAATCATTTTGCAATAGTAGGAAAATTGTTTTTTTGAAGTAAAAAACTTCATTCTAAGCCGAAGATTATTTTAAAATCAAACGTGTGTAACCAGACAGATGTGTTAACTAACATCAGCTAGACGATAATCGAGTTTACATTCACGCCTCATCGACTTTTCCAGCTCATATTTGACTTCTTCTAAAGAGTTGCTCATTTCTTCCTTTTGAGTTTCCATAATTGTAAGTTCATCCTCTTGCGAAGCAACCTGAAATTGTATAGAATGTGGATGTCAAAAACCCGACAAACCAGTTCTTCAAAATTCAGCCATTTTACAGGAGGTTAACCTGTCCAAAAAACAATAATTTCTAGCAAGAGATAATATACAGAAAAAGTAAAAGACGAAAAACCCAGGCACAAAAGAAATGACCAGATTAGACAAAAGAATTTGGATAGATTAGGGTAGACATAAAAAAACAAAAGTTTTCTACCAAATAACTCACTTTATTTGATAACCGGTAATTTTCCTCCTGTAGTTTGGTAACTAACTTCTGCAACCGAACGTTTTCTTCACTTAGGTCATTATTTCTGTTTACAATTTCCTCACTAAGTTCTGAAACCATTCCATTAACCATGTCGTTGGAAGTAGATGCTCCTAAAAAGCTGAATCTTAGGAATTACTGAAATGCATTTTTTTTAATAAGAAATTTTACCTTCATTTGTGTCCCCAGTAATAGAGTTACACGAAGAGATGGCCTTCGCTATTTTTTCATTTCTTTGCATAAGCCGATCAAAGACCTGAACGAGCTTCGCCAGGGCCCGACGACTGTAAACATATTTCTCAAAAAAATAAGTATAAAAAGCAATATTGTAGAAATTACGATCCTACTATTGTAAATAGTGCAGTATACAAAAAATAAAATTTCAAGTGCCGCTTCAGGAGAACAAAGTAAAGAGACGACAAGTTACCTGAAATCTACTCGTTGTTGCAACTTTTCTTCGATTTCCTCATTTTCCCAAAGTGAAAGGTTGGCCAAAAAACTCTTTGTCTCCTTACTTTCCGCTAAAAAAACATTGAATTTATTTTGAAATTATACAAATAAAACTAGCAACGTCTAGCATTACTTTAATTGTTCGACGAAAAACCTAAGTCAAAGAAAGAACTTGATTACCTTCACTATTGATAACATTTTAAAATGTAGAAGCACGAGGCAGACAACTCATACCAGATTACTAAGCAAATCATATTAAAGAAAAAACCATACTTGCAACTTCTTCCTCAATGGACGTTCCAGTATCGAACCTTTGCAGCAAAATCCTCACTTCCTCATCAAACTGAAATATTTTTACATAACAATTTCCTCCCTTTACTTAAAGTAGGTGGCTAACCCAGGAAAAAACGAAAGTAAAGATAAAATCGTTTCCAGCAACAAGAAAACTGCATTAAAAAGCGGAAAAGAAAGCTGTTAGTTATAAAAACTTCAACCTTATTCCATGACCTGTTTATAATACAAAGCATAGCATCATCTTGAGCCTGTCTAGTTTCTAACTGCTCAACTCTTTTCTGCAGCTGGTCTTTCTGCTTTTCTTTTAGCTTGAATCTTTCAGACAGTTTATAGTGCTGCACTGTAAGTACCTTTGTATCAATGTCGACCTAAAAAACACGCAACAGATCAAATGGAATAGAAAGCAAGAGCAAATAGAAATAGCTGCATTATTACCAACAAATTAAGAACCAAGATTACCTCTCAACTGTGAATAAATCTTGAATGACTAACTTACAGTGCCACTTACGGAACAGATGCGAATTGGTTCGAATTCAACGTGTCGCTTTTTCGACATTGGTTCATGAAAACCATCAGCAGATTCATCGTCGCTTTCCGGCGATGAACGTTTTGACATTTCTCTGCGATCTAGTGATCACTAAAATTACAATATCGTCTAAAGGTACAAAAAAAATCAAACACTAGGTTAAATTATACCAAATGACAACCATAAACTGTATTTTCATCAAAATTATTTACCTAAATCAGCAAGCAGTCACCTACACCACGTTAAGGGCTTACCAACACAAGATTAGCTCATGTACTGCAGATTGTCAACTCAGATGATTAAGCGCTGAAAAAATTTCCTTTTTTTTTTTAATTGTGCATAGAATCCTAAAGTAAAAAGTAATTATAATTGTAATTATACAAAGAAAACTGTTGGAAGTTAATAACAACGGAAGGCTAACTTACTCTATTATAAGCAACTAGTAAAATATAATAGAAATAAAGAAATTGCAACTATTAAAGGGAAATA